ACAGACACACACACACAGACACATGCACACACACACACACACACACACACACACACACACACACACACACTCTCACGCGCACACACGCACATACACACATGCACGCACACGTATAATACATGTTTTCACCAGCAGAAGCATACGGTATGTCCGCACCTTTAAAGCCATGGAGGTATATTTGATTATAAAGCCAGTCTCAGATACAAAGCGATGGGCTTCAAAAATGAAATGACATTTGAAGTATGTTTGTAAAATGAAGGAATAAGTACTATACTCGTACTAATAAACTTACAGCCCAGCAGGAATGGCGAACAAGTGGATTTAGAGTGAAATTTCTGTGTAGACTTGGACTTTGCCCTAGCCCAAACCCTACTCTTATTTCTGCTCCTAACGCACACCCTAAACAAACCCAAACTCAAACCCACACCCTAACCCTAGCCCCAACTGTAACCCTAACCCTAACTCTAACCCTGGATACAAACACTACTTTGGTTGAAATGTTTGTGATACGAGTACGCACTTAACCCTTTGCATGCTGAGCCCTTTTTTTTCTCCAATCCACTGGCCAGCGCACTGACTCTCTTGGTGGAGTATGCACTCACAGCTCCGAACGAAATCTATTCTCATTTCACTCCACCTTGATGGATTTTCATCGTCCTGGGCTCGTTGGAAAGATCAGGACCAAGCGAATCCATCCTGGCAGCTCCCAGCTCCATAGACACATCAGGGCCACTTCCACGTCCTCTCCAAACTACTCCACCGTGCCTCGGAACGGCACAACAACTCAATTTCACATTCTTGTTCGGCTTCTTGCCCAAATTCAACCGATGTTCACAATTCAAACTGCGCTGCAAAGCTGAGATCCAAGCGCTTCATTTGATGTACATCACGCAAGCGCCGTGCCAAAGGGAAATCCCCTGGCACGCTCCTCAACAAAAAGAAGTCATGAACAAAAAAATCGCCTTCACTCTGGGCCGTGATTTCCGTGTTCATCTTGTCGCCGCTCAATGAATTCTTATCCTATTGCGAAGAACATTATATCCCCGGAAAGATGAGGTCAAGACCTTTCAACCGGTGTATTGATTGTCGCGATGCGTTTATGTTTGACAAAGTTACGAAAGTTTGTACACTGGTCTATGGACTGCGATATATCGCGCGATTTTTTTGCGAGTTAACTCGTACGTAGTGGATCAGGTCATGCATAAAGCGCGCAAAGGGTTAATATTCAATTTGGATTATCAGAACAATTTGGATTATCAGAACAATTTCAGAACAATTTGGATTATCAGAATAATTCGGATTATCAGAAAATTTGGATAATCAGAACACTAGCTCAAAACAGCTTGCCGAAAAGTGTTTGGATAACCGGAGGTAGGAGTTTTAATAGTTACTGTATTTTCCGGGGTATAAGCTGCACTTTGAACACTCAAAATTCACCCAAAAGAACGGGGGTGCGGCTTATACTCCGATGATCAAATTAACGGTGATAAAATAGATGTCTGTATTTCGTGGCCAAAAATGGGGGGGGGGGGGGGGGGTGCGGCTTTTTAAAATACCCAAACCTTAACCCTGAACCAAACTCAAACCCAAACTCAAACCCAAACTCAAACCCAAACTCAAACTCAAACCCAAACTCAAACCCAAACTCAAACCCAAACTCAAACCCAAACTCAAACCCAAACTCAAACCCAAACTCAAACCCAAACCCAAACTCAAACCCAAACTCAAACCCAAACTCAAACCCAAACTCAAACCCAAACTCAAACCCAAACTCAAACCCAAACTCAAACTCAAACTCAAACTCAAACCCAAACTCAAACCCAAACTCAAACCCAAACTCAAACTCAAACCCAAACTCAAACCCAAACTCAAACCCAAACTCAAACCCAAACTCAAACCCAAACTCAAACCCAAACTCAAACCCAAACCCAAACTCAAACCCAAACTCAAACCCAAACTCAAACCCAAACTCAAACCCAAACTCAAACCCAAACTCAAACTCAAACTCAAACTCAAACCCAAACTCAAACCCAAACTCAAACCCAAACTCAAACCCAAACTCAAACTCAAACCCAAACTCAAACCCAAACTCAAACCCAAACTCAAACCCAAACTCAAACCCAAACTCAAACCCAAACTCAAACCCAAACTCAAACCAAACTCAAACCAAACTCAAACCCAAACTCAAACCCAAACTCAAACTCAAACTCAAACCCAAACTCAAACCCAAACTCAAACCCAAACTCAAACCCAAACTCAAACCCAAACTCAAACCCAAACTCAAACTCAAACCCAAACTCAAACCCAAACTCAAACCCAAACTCAAACCCAAACTCAAACTCAAACCCAAACTCAAACTCAAACTCAAACCCAAACTCAAACCCAAACTCAAACCCAAACTCAAACCCAAACTCAAACCCAAACTCAAACCCAAACCCAAACCCAAACCCAAACCCAAACTCAAACCCAAACTCAAACTCAAACCCAAACTCAAACCCAAACTCAAACCCAAACCCAAACTCAAACCAAACTCAAACCAAACTCAAACCCAAACTCAAACCCAAACTCAAACCCAAACTCAAACCCAAACTCAAACCCAAACTCAAACCCAAACTCAAACTCAAACCCAAACCCAAACCCAAACTCAAACCCAAACTCAAACTCAAACCCAAACTCAAACCCAAACTCAAACTCAAACCCAAACTCAAACCCAAACTCAAACCCAAACTCAAACCCAAACCCAAACTCAAACCCAAACTCAAACCCAAACTCAAACCCAAACTCAAACCCAAACTCAAACCCAAACTCAAACCAAACTCAAACCAAACTCAAACCCAAACTCAAACCAAACTCAAACCAAACTCAAACCCAAACTCAAACCAAACTCAAACCCAAACTCAAACCAAACTCAAACCCAAACTCAAACCCAAACTCAAACCCAAACCCAAACTCAAACCCAAACTCAAACCCAAACTCAAACCAAACTCAAACCCAAACTCAAACCAAACCCAAACTCAAACCCAAATCCTAGCCAAATGTGTTTGGATAACCGGGAGCAGGACGTTGCTTCTCTGCTATACTTACTGCTGTGCAAGTGTGCGGTGGAGTTCTTGCGCATCTTGGTCGGCGACGAGTTCGCCGTACGGCTACCTCCTAGGGAGGAGGACGAGAGGTCGAGGTTGGCATGCGTCTTCGGACTGCCGAAGACTGACCTGCCGCTGTGGGCACTAGTCTGCTCCTCACTGCCTGTTACACACACGCACGCACGCACGCATGCACACACACACACACGCACACACACATACATACACACACACACACGCACACATACACACACACAAGCAGACATTGAGAGTACAGTAAAAAAAAGGAGAAAAGGAAACTATTGTGTCCATTCTCGAGGGAACTCACGACGGCAGCTAACACCCGGTAAACCCCAGCGGCAGATGCAGCGCCTAACGGAAGGGGGTGAGTCCAGTAAAGAACAGTGTACACACATGGTAAACACCTGTATGTAGGGGGAAACATGTGAAGTACGGAGACTGAATTTGCCCTCGACTCGCTTAAAATTTCAATATTCTTCGGGTCGTAGCTTTGGTATCCTTCTATACATATGACACAGAGCACCACGCCTCATTCGTTGCAACTAATAGGTTCATGTCCATAGGCAATCATTGTTGCAACTAATAGGTTCATGTCCATAGGCAATCATTGTTGCAGCTAATAGGTTCATGTCCATAGGCAATCATTGTTGCAACTAATAGGTTCATGTCCATAGGCAATCATTGTTGCAACTAATAGGTTCATGTCCATAGGCAATCATTGTTGCAACTAATAGGTTCATGTCCATAGGCAATCATCGTTGCAACTAATAGGTTCATGTCCATAGGCAATCATTGTTGCAGCTAGTAGTTTCCTGGCCATAGGCAATCACCAGACAAACTTTTTAAATGCGTGGTGCTCTGTGTCGTGTGTAAAATACCTCTATGCGAACGAATATTGAGCATTCTACCGAGCAGGAGGACTCTCATGAGTATCTTTCTATATCCACTTACTTTCCATAGTACTAGAACAGCCACTGACGTTCTCCATTGACGGAGTGGCAGAGAATGATGACGGCCACTCGCCACCACCAGCACCAACGTTCTGACTGTTCGGTGCCAGCAACGTGATTGTCCCTTCGCTCACACCCGCCTCGTGTGACAGACTCAGGCTGCTTTGGCGACGATGACGCCTGACGGGAGAGTGCGATGTGTCACAACCGACGCTGCTACTCATGTTGAGCTGCAGCTGTGTGTCGGGCGTGAAACATGAACTAGTCCGGCGAACACCCAGGTCGGGAACCTGCATGCGTAGAACACAACAAAATCAGGGACGTATTCACAGTATCGTCACAGGTTATCAGTGCGCCGTGTTCATAATTATCTTGATAATGGAATTTGATCATAGGAGATAGGACAGAAGCGGAACGTATAATTATACCCACATAATTATATTATTACACGTGCTGTGGTAATATTATTATTATTATTATTATTATTTAGTTCTGAAATTATTATTATTATTCACAGTATTCTTCCAAGTACCGGGTTTTTTGCTGCTCTTGCTCAATCCAAGTACATGCGAAATACACAACTACAGTTGTGCCCGGTGACAGACAGACACAGGCACAGACACACACACACAGACACACACACAGACACACACACAGACAGACACAGACAGACACACACACAGACAGAAACACACAGACACAGACAGACACCCACACAGACACCCACAGAAACAGACACACACACAGACACAGACACACACAGATGCACACAGACACAGACACACACAGACAGACACACACAGACACAGAAACACACAGACACAGACATACACACACAGACACACACAGAAACAGACACACACACAGACACACACAGACGCACACAGACACAGACACACACAGACACACAGACACACACAGACACATACGGACAGACACACAGACGCACATACAACACACACACACACTGACAAAGCAGACACAGGCACATATGCACACATGTTTAAAACTACCGTACCTTGGATTTCTTCCTAGCTATCTCAATGCTAGCAGCATCAGCAGACGCTAGTGCGTTCAGTGCCGCCTGCCCGTCACGTTTCTCCTTCAGCAGTCGCTTGAGCCGCACAATGACGTTGAGGACGTTCCGTAGTGTACGCCACAGGTGAGCCTTGCTTGGCCAGTCACACTCCAGCACCGCCTTGTTGTAATGTGCGTAGGTGACAGCGTTCGGAGTGATCGATACACGCCGCATTTCCATCAGCACCTGCCATAACACACACAGCAACAGCAGCAGGCACAGAAACAACAGCAACAGGGTAGCAGCAGCAGTCACAGAAACAATAGCAACAGGGTAGCAACAGCAGCGCAATAGCATTAGCAGCGGCAGCGGCAGCAGCAGCATGGACAGTACATTTAGAAATTTTATTCAGATTTTCTATACGGTATACTTGTACTACGCATTGCATGTTCAACACATGTATTGGCCCCAGGGATTTAACAAAGTGCAAGCCAAGATAATCTATGCATGGATGGTCTACAGTAACAAAAAACTGTTATGGGTAGATATATGCTTATCAACTTCTCTCTGCCATCCTTTGTCCCCCGGGGGGTTACCTCCTGTACGTTGTATTTTGCATGGCAAGACAATTTTGGAAAATGGAAAAATGGGTTACAGGGTAACTGTTTCCCCTGCCCATACCCCATGACTTACCCGCACAGCTAACATGGGATATCACATGACTTACCCGCACAACTAACATGGGATATCACATGACTTACCCGCACAGCTAACATGGGATATCACATGACTTACCCGCACAGCTAACATGGGATATCACATGACTTACCCGCACAGCTAACATGGGATGACCTAATTTGGCGCAGAGATCCATGAGGACACGGTATGAGACTTCATCAGGTAAGCGAACACGCTGCTCATCCATTTTCTCAAACACCTACACATGCATACACACACATGCATACACAAATGCATACACACATACACACACACACGCACACACACACGACGATGACGGCAACAACGACAACCACAACAACCACAACCACAACAAGACGCAAAAAGGTAACACGGTTCAACTTTCATACCGCTTAATTAGAAGTTTTTCCAGGACCGATTTCTATCAATACGATTTTCACATAACCATATCCGATAATTCGAGCCTCGAAATGGACATGCCCCGCTAATTAGCAGTTCCACAGAATCCACCTACAGTATATAGAAACTGTGTGGGATTTGTGCTGATAATTCGAAGTTAGCAAAGTGTAATTCGAAGTTCACTGTACACTGTGCCGGTCAGTTCAGTTTGCATGAGCAGGCTGTGCCGGTCAGTTCAGTTTGCATGAGCAGGCTGTGCCGGTCAGTTCAGTTTGCATGAGCAGGCTGTGCCGGTCAGTTCAGTTTGCATGAGCAGGCTGTGCCGGTCAGTTCAGTTTGCATGAGCAGGCTGTGCCGGTCAGTTCAGTTTGCATGAGCAAGCTGTGCCGGTCAGTTCAGTTTGCATGAGCAGGCTGTGCCGGTCAGTTCAGTTTGCATGAGCAGGCTATGCCGGTCAGTTCAGTTTGCATGAGCAGGCTGTGCCGGTCAGTTCAGTTTGCATGAGCAGGCTGTGCCGGTCAGTTCAGTTTGCATGAGCAGGCTGTGCCGGTCAGTTCAGTTTGCATGAGCAGGCTGTGCCGGTCAGTTCAGTTTGCATGAGCAAGCTGTGCCGGTCAGTTCAGTTTGCATGAGCAGGCTGTGCCGGTCAGTTCAGTTTGCATGAGCAGGCTATGCCGGTCAGTTCAGTTTGCATGAGCAGGCTGTGCCGGACAGTTCAGTTTGCATGAGCAGGCTGTGCCGGTCAGTTCAGTTTGCATGAGCAGGCTGTGCCGGTCAGTTCAGTTTGCATGAGCAAGCTGTGCCGGTCAGTTCAGTTTGCATGAGCAGGCTGTGCCGGTCGGTTCAGTTTGCATGAGCAGGCTATGCCGGTCAGTTCAGTTTGCATGAGCAGGCTGTGCCGGTCAGTTCAGTTTGCATGAGCAGGCTGTGCCGGTCAGTTCAGTTTGCATGAGCAGGCTGTGCCGGTCAGTTCAGTTTGCATGAGCAAGCTGTGCCGGTCAGTTCAGTTTGCATGAGCAGGCTGTGCCGGTCAGTTCAGTTTGCATGAGCAGGCTATGCCGGTCAGTTCAGTTTGCATGAGCAGGCTGTGCCGGTCAGTTCAGTTTGCATGAGCAGGCTGTGCCGGTCAGTTCAGTTTGCATGAGCAGGCTGTGCCGGTCAGTTCAGTTTGCATGAGCAGGCTGTGCCGGTCAGTTCAGTTTGCATGAGCAAGCTGTGCCGGTCAGTTCAGTTTGCATGAGCAGGCTGTGCCGGTCAGTTCAGTTTGCATGAGCAGGCTATGCCGGTCAGTTCAGTTTGCATGAGCAGGCTGTGCCGGTCAGTTCAGTTTGCATGAGCAGGCTGTGCCGGTCAGTTCAGTTTGCATGAGCAGGCTGTGCCGGTCAGTTCAGTTTGCATGAGCAAGCTGTGCCGGTCAGTTCAGTTTGCATGAGCAGGCTGTGCCGGTCGGTTCAGTTTGCATGAGCAGGCTATGCCGGTCAGTTCAGTTTGCATGAGCAGGCTGTGCCGGTCAGTTCAGTTTGCATGAGCAGGCTGTGCCGGTCAGTTCAGTTTGCATGAGCAGGCTGTGCCGGTCAGTTCAGTTTGCATGAGCAGGCTGTGCCGGTCAGTTCAGTTTGCATGAGCAAGCTGTGCCGGTCAGTTCAGTTTGCATGAGCAGGCTGTGCCGGTCAGTTCAGTTTGCATGAGCAGGCTATGCCGGTCAGTTCAGTTTGCATGAGCAGGCTGTGCCGGTCAGTTCAGTTTGCATGAGCAGGCTGTGCCGGTCAGTTCAGCTTGCATGAGCAGGCTGTGCCGGTCAGTTCAGTTTGCATGAGCAGGCTGTGCCGGTCAGTTCAGTTTCTGTGAAATCTGTGTCCAAGGCCCATAGCGCAACTCTGGCTTTTACAGTACTTCCTCCGCGTCATCGAAATTGTCGCAGTTTGACTAGTGACTTGTCACTTGTTACTGACAACTCCATAAGCTAAGCCATTCAAAACTTATTACACAGTATGATAATCTGAAGACTAGAGTAACGTTCCAGGACAGTTGGACTGAGAGTTTTCATGCAGAGATGAAGTCCTCGTCGTCGCTGATGTCAATGGACGCAAAAATATCGTTCCGAAATATTTCAAGGAAGGTTGAAAGTTGGTCGCGCCTCATCTCAAACGCTTTGACTTTCTCCACAGGACAAGAGCTGCTATGCTTGTCGTCTGCTAGCTCTGGATGATTTCTACTTCACCACCAACGAAGCCTAGTAAGAATACACGATCGTTGCGAGGTCGGTTGATTACCGTCGGCGGAATCACCTCGATCTTGAAATGAACTTTTTTTAGCCGTGGCATGCCCATTTATTTTAGCTGTTTGGTCACAGCTCAGGTAAGTGTACTATCGCGTCCAGCGCGCCCTGTTTTTCAGCATCACTGGTATACCATGGTACGGCACCTGCGCGTGCATCACTAGCACTACGTGTATAGTCTACACGGCTCTTGCAGGTACAATCATGTTCTGAGTGTCTCAGCCAGAGCAACAAATTTTATCGCTGTTGCCGGCATTTAGATTGCTGACCCCTCAATGTTTCTCCAAGCGCTGTCACTTGTTCCACGAAGTCATTCTCACCCCAGCTAAGGTAAAACAGTGATGAGGTTTGAGTGAATGGCCATAAGCACGAGAAATGTGCAGGCTGCAACGCCTGACTGATCTCCGCGAGTCGAAATTACCATCGCAGCGACATCAGCGAAGAAATTGTGTCTAGTTCAAAAATTCCAGCTTCCAATAACAGAAAATAGAACTTTACCGTCACCCTATACTGATGACTATCGCCTATATCCCATTCCCTGCCTCTGGTACGAGTGCTGGTGAGTAAATACCCCGTTTTATATCAAAAGTCAAACTGCGTCAATTTCGATGACGCGGAGGAAGTACATGGAATTCAAAGACTCAAAAATACAGCAGCCATTCACGTCTCAGGAGATCAAGACAAGCAATAGCCAATGTGCGGAGCATTCACCCCAAATACAGTTGCGCTCACTGAAATCCAGCCTAAAGTGCAAAGCTGACTCCCTGGACCACCAGTTCCCATTACATCACTGTAGGTGTACTTGTGTACGTCTAGCTGCATTCCTACCACTCCAAGGGCATCAAGGGACGTGCACGTAGAGGGCATTCCTACCACTCCAAGGGCGTCAAGGGACGTGCAAGTAGGGCGCCAGATATGCACTTTGGGTCGGATTTCACCGAGCAGAACAGTAAAAGAGGTGCGTCTCATGGCTGGAAACATGGCAAGCTGATGAAGCTGCGCATGCAGTGCACGGTGAGTGAGTGGGATTTCGTTACTGGATTTACAGATGTGTACAGGCCAGTACAAGTGAAGATCATAGCAGTGCTCAGCAAGATGATGGTAACCGGGACATGCAAGCCAAGAACAAACAAACAAACAGCCTTGTACAGAAAGGGAAATGAACATCCAGGTAAAAGAATCAATAGCTGGAGAGTACTACCAGAATTGTACAGGTGAAAGAGAGTGTGATGGTCTTACCCGGAACGCTAAGCTGAGTGCTTCACGCTTGAAGGGATGACAGTGAGCGAACGCCGGAAGATGTATGAACCACAGTGCAAACACCTGCGAATACAGATAGCTACGGGTGGGCAGCGGGCGGTGAGGGAAGTTCAGAACGCATCAACACACACATACATAAACACACACACACACACACACACACACACACACACACACACACACACACACACACACGTACACACACACACACACACACACACACACATGTACACACACACACACACACACACATGTACTCACGCACGTACGCGCGCGCGCGCGCACACACACACACACACACACACACAGACAAGAGGAGATTGACTGGGTGATTGCAGAAGGAGACAGAGCTGATTGTACAGTGCCCAGCTGTCATCCTGCAGAGTAAAGTGCACACTAAGTACAAGTCTGGTTCTACTATTCACTACAAGTGTTGTAGTTGAGAGAATGGAAAAGAGAAAAGTCTGAAGAAAAAATTGAGTGTCACAACCAGGACTCGAACCAGGGACCTTCGCTTGTGGCCAGCGATGCTCTAACCACTGAGCTATGGTGTAGTCGTCATCCCAGCAGAGACCGTTCAACATTTTCTTCAGACTTCGAATGGTTTTACTACGGATTAATAACACGTTGTACAGCATTGATGTCCAGTACGTTCATCACACACACATGACACAGCACTATGCATCTCTAAAACTCAAACGACAGTACACCTGGCAGATGCTGTGCAGCAACAGTGGAGCTGAGACGGCCTATTGGAATGTTACATGATAATCAGCTGAGCAACATTCAGCACATGAGTCACTCACTTTGCCCAGGCTTGTGGAGATTCCGAATCTTGCACTGCCATCTAGAGAAAAAAAGACAAACACAAGAGAACACACACACAGGCACACAGGCAACCAGACACACAGGCACACAAACACACAGGCACACAAACACACTCTCTCTCTAGACTTCTATCTCAGTAGGCAATGATAGCAATGCTACAGCATACGTCATAGCAACTTGTGCTGGGATTACACCATTCAACAGCTTGCAAGGCTGAAGAATTGACCGCCGCTATCTAGCCTGGATTGCACCACAAGGCTTTTGATTTTGAAGCCGTTACTCTTATATTTGCTCTAATTAATATTTGCTTTGTTTTCCTAGCTTACTATTGCCGTGGCTGGCTCAACGCCCTTGTCTCAGGGGATTCTGTCCCTGCATTAGCTATGCTTGTCACATGCTATGAGATTGTGTCTAATAATAATAATAATTCTGGGCAGTGAATCCCTACTGTTGGGCTTTTGCTCCTTCTTTTCCCTTTACTAGCGATCACACCACACCACATACTCCTGCATACACTGGCCGCTGGTAACCACCCAGGCAAATAAAAGAGAAATCAGGAGGAGAGTACAAAGGAGATGAAAAACGTATCTGACAATAATTGCTGGGAACTGAACCCGCTACCGCTCCATTGGAAATCAATTGTGCATACCATTGCACCATATGGGACACGCGCACACGCACATGAACACCCCACACACACACGCACACATACCTGCAAGCTCTTTTCCCTCTCGGCCGTAGTCCGCTGAAAGACAGACTGTGCTGGTGAATCGGTAGTTACAGACGCTGGCGGTGATGATTCTGCCACGGTGCGTACATTGGCGGTGGGCGGTTTGGGTGCTGAGAACAGACGCTCATCAAGTGTGAATGTCTCATACCTACATATAGACAACAAGGACGATGACGACAACAACAATGACAACAACGGCAGCAGTGACAACGATGACAATGACAACAACGGCAGCAGTGACAACGATGACAACAAGCACAAGCCGTTTCCCATCCTTGGATGCTTCAATTTCACGAATATAACCAGCAGAGGCTCGTTGCTGTAAGTCAACAAATATTCGGCGCAAGTCTATTTTAGGCTATTATCGGCCTGGCCATGTTCGGCCGAAAATTTCTTGCGGCCGGAATTTTGTTTTGCGAGTTTCTGTGCAACAGTGTATACCGGCGGCAGCAGTACAGGCCGAAAATTTGATGCGGCCGAAATGCGTTTTAGCCCCGGTAGGCCGAAATTTGAATGGGCCGAACATGTATTGACTAACAGTACAGTGAAACAGCTGTCTAAGACGACCGCTCAAGGGACCTTCAAAACGTGGTCTCTGTTACCAGGTGGTCTGCTTATACAGGGTCATTTGACTGGAAATAGCATCACTTGGTCCTGGTTGTAATGGTCTTCTAGGACAGGTGGTCGCCTTATCCGAGTGGTCGCCTTGACAGGTTTTACTGTACCTGGTTACAGGGAAAATGCCAACAACAAAGACAAGCTGTGTGTAGCTTTAGACAAACATGTATGTAGTCAAAACCTGAAGTTGATAGTGCTGCTTAGCTATGGTTTACAGACAGGTAGAGCAACAACCAGCCTAACCATAGAACTATAGATGGTGAATTTTAAGCAAAACGAGCGTAGCACTCGAGTGTGAGTTTAGCCGGCTTACGTGTAGTCTTTGTCCTCAAGACCCGAGAGGTCTGGTGGTGTGGCTACCACTGTCATGCTTGAACTAGATCTAAATATATGCAGACAAGGACACACATACACACACACATACACACACGCACACATACACGCACGCGAGCGCGCGCGCACGTACGCACACACACACACACACACACACACACACACACACACACACACACACACACACAAAAAGCAAACAGCATAACAAGGTAGTTACTTAGCTTCATCTCTGCACTTCATTTCAAACATGCACTTTTTATGCCCCTCTGTCTGTCTGTCTATCTGTTTGTCTGTCTGTCTGTCTGTCTGTCTGTCTGTCTGTCTGTCTGTCTGTCTGTCTGTCTCTGTATGTCCCTCTCTTCCTCCCCCTCTGCATTTCCCTAGTACCCTCTCCCTGCTAAGACTAAAGTGTTGACAAAAAAGGAAACAAAACGGAACAAACACTAAATCACAGACATACTTGTCATTGACGCTGAGCTTGACCAGCGGTTCCGGCTTATCTGCATTGATGACACACTCGTCAAAGAACGCTAACGTGCCGGAGTCGCCAGAGGATGTGAAAGATCTACAAGCACACACAAAGAAATACTTGCATGCGTGGAGAATACCGAACTGGATCAAATAATAAATACGACAACGCATGTACCCTGCACAATTGGTAATGTTTGCGACGTAAACATGTTTGAGACTTCGCAAACTTGCACCAGGTAATGCGAAGTACAACTCTCTTGTGGTCACTTTCCACTGTTTGCCAGCGTAAGCTTTTGAACCATGTCACGTGATGTGAAGTTCTGCCGTCATTGCAGCACTGTATAGAGGTTGTGCAGGCAGTTGCACACTCCTGGGGGAGGGACGTACCTGGTCCACCTTTTAGGGGCTGCGCAACTGCATACCGTACGTCCGCACCTTTAACCCTTTACCATCCGACCAAATTTCCCCAGCAGTCCCAAATGCAATAATTCTCACCTTATTCTGAGAATATCTTCGGTTCTAATCAACCATTTTTCACAATCTTGGGCATTCTGGAAAGCTCTCCACGAGCTGCGTACATTGAGCTCAAACAGGACACTACTGAGATCACATATCCAGCGCCAGGGAGCTTCGAATACACCCCATCGCTGGATATACGAGGAAATTCTCTCCTCGCCAGCCATTTCTCGCTCCTTCATCGTAAACATTCCAAATTTTTTGCTTGAGTTTCTTTTCATGCTGCCCACGTGCTCGAAGCATGCCAAAGTGACTCAGCATGTCAGGAGAGGGGAAAATCCCCGCTCAAGGTCAGTCACTCGGAAAGAAATTCGACTTTTGCCGTAGCTGAAATGTCGAGCGAAATATCTTTGGAATGCGACATCGCAGCTCTTTACCGATTGATGCAATGGAAAGCTGAGCTCTTCGGCTTCTTCCTAGATACTTAGTTCTTTAAATTCCGCCAAGAATCGATCGAGTTACGAATGTTTTAGTGTATGTATGTCCATCGATCTCTAGAGATCGATTCAAGTACGCACGGATGGTAAAGGGTTAAAGCCACGGCGGTATATTTGATTATAAAGCCAGTTTCAGTTATAAAGCCATGGGCTTCATAAATGAAAATTTAATGACATTTGAAGTATGTTTTTCAAAAATGAAGGAATAAGTACTATGCTAACGAACTTACAGCCCAGCAGGAAGGGTGTACAAGTAGATTTAGATTGAAATTTCTACGTGGACTTTGACTTTTATGGCATGGCCTAGTGGGTGAGTCATTTTGCATCTAAAATAGCTAGGAAAGCAGCGGCGTGTCGAATATAAGGCCATGGCTTTAAAGGCGCTGACATACGGTATGCGTAGGGTGGCTGTTGCATGTCATTCATAGTCATTATGTGCATGCTGAACCTAGGTCGAAATGTTTAGGGGGTGCACGTGCCTTCCCTGTGCCATGCAGGTTACGCGCCTGTGGGGGCTAGGCACACTGCCCGACATTGCCACAGCACATGGCTCTGCACCTCGCCACACCTGTGGGGGCTAGGCACACTACCCGACATTGCCACAGCACATGGCTCTGCACCTCGCCACACCTACCTCTGTTCGATGAGATTGCTGAAGATCTGCGTCTGGAAGAACTTGGTGAAGAAGGAGTGCTCCTGGCTGGGCCGACTCTTCAGAAACCCTGTAGGTATAGCAAGAGAAGACCAACAGCCGACCGTCCGGAACAAAGGTCAAGTCGCACGCTAAAGTTCTGCACAAAATGAAAAACGAAGTACTGCATTTTCCTCCACCGGAGGTTTTCAGCTTTTTTCAGGCTCGTACTTCAGGCGAGTAGTTCAAGGACATAATTATGTGCATACAGCATAGTGCAACACGCCAGGGATTAGTTCGGATCGCTTACAACGACTGACCACAGCTACACATAGGAGGGCAGTGAAGGAGAGCATTGCGGTGAAGCAATACTGTATATACCATACACCACTCTTGGCCTACGCTAAGTAATACGTCTACATCCCTTTCTGTTGCTCAGCTACTGTTTGTTGCTCCATACATTGGAGCTCGCGTGTTTCCTGCCGACTGACTTTATTCGCACTTCACCATCACCGAAGTCGCTACAACCTCTTCTTCGAGCTATTGTTTGCTTATTCTAAATTTCTAATACAGTTCTGGCATTACGGGAAGCCCTCGATAGGCGAGAACTCTTTGGGGAATAATTAAACAATAGAACAAGATGCAAATTACCAAGGCACACACACACACCAATGCACAACTTTCACCAAAGAGTAAGAAGTGCCGAAACAAGAATCCATGCCAGCAACACTTCCGGGAAATCGACAACGCATTTCGACAATCTACAACGTCACACAACCATATTCATAAGCAGGGTGTGTACGTATACACGGAGTCATTTCTCGTGCGTACACCACTGGTGATCTAAACACTATACGTCATACCTCGAAGATCAAAGAGTTGTGAAATATCCGTTGACGCCTGGGAAGGAGCACGGGTCAGCGGTCGCAGGAATGCACTGCAAGATTACCAACGGTAACGATAGCAGCAGAGAAAACGGCGACAGCGTCAACAGCAGCAACAACAGCAGTGGCACCACCATCAGCATCGTCAAGTTGCACAGTCTTGGGGGATTACGTACTCTAGCTACAAGCTATGATGCAGTCGTCATGCCAACAGAGACAGTTCAACAAAGAATGTCACAGTACTAGAAAATAATATGAAAGCTAAAGAATGGTGTTCATTTGTTTGAGGGGAAGTTGCAAATGGGAAAAGTCTGAAGAAAAAATTGACTGTCACCAACCAGGACTCGAACCAAGGACCCTCGCTTGTAGCCAGCGATGCTCTACCACTGAGCTACGGTGTATTCGTCATCCAAGCAGAGATCGTTCAACATTTTCTTCAGACTTCGATAATAGTGATGAATATTGTTCATTACTCCTGCCAGAGAGATGGATCGCCTACCTGTATCCACCCAGAAGCTGAGCATGAAACCGGAGGAACGCCTCACGGATAGACAAGTTGAGCGACGCCTGCAGATATACACATGCACACGCAAGCATACAGAAACACACACACACGCGAGTACACACATACTCACACGCACATGCGCACACGATGCAAGAAGAACACACGTGCACATGGGATCATGACTGAGAAGTAAATAGCACGAAAGGGTCAGCTTCACCGCCACACTGAATGGAGAGTGAAGAAGTGGCACGAACAGAGTTCACTTTTCAAAGTCCCTATTATCCAGCGAAAACCCCAAAGACACGCCTTTTCAAGGTCCTATTATCCAGCAAAAAACCCAAAGACCAACCTCCTTCAGCCAGTTCTCAATTATCTAGTTCAAATCAACAACCACTAAAAATACACTTGAGTAGACCCTTAGCAGAGAATTTTGAGTAAACCGCAACGGAGATTCAGGTATAAGCAGACAATTTTGTTGGTCAATAATTTCGTCCAACTCCAAAGAAAGGGAGTTCGTCCGGTTGCAAATTTCGTCCATGGATCATAAGAGTGTACTGAAAAGCTGGACAAATCGATATTAGTCCGGCATTTAATTTAGTCCTACAGCTCGTTGGACGAAAAAGACGAAATTAAATTCCAGACGAATATTTCTGCTTGTACAGTATTTGGCTTCCAAATAGCTGAAATGTACAGTGATTGGCTTACCGAATCAGACTTGGCCGGTGCCTGAGTATCGGACGGTGGTGGTACCACAGCCACTGCTAGATCACTGTCTAGGTCTGTGCCTAACACAACAACAACAACAGCAACAACAACAACAACAACAACAACAACAACAACAACAACAACAACAACAACAACAACAACAACAACAACAACAACAACAACAACAACAACAACAACAACAACAACAACAACAACAACAACATCAACAACAACAACAACAACAACAACAACAACAACAACAACAACAATCGTGAGAATAAAAGATTTCAAACAATAACAATAACGACAACAACAACAACAACGCATGCAGTTTGTACTGCCATATGCCAGTTCCACAATCAGTGCACGCAATGGGTGCGGCATTAATCTGGCTACCATAGTAACAAGATCACATACCAGTCTTGGACCTGCCAGGCAAACATTCGGGGGGACATGGTAAAATGGCCCTAGCCCAAGAAAGGTGGAATCAAGCACACATCACACGTACTGAGGGGCACTTGCGTCTGTAACTGCTTCAGAGTTCGGCTGAGTTGCTGTGCTGGTTTCTAAATAGACAGAGGGTCAGACGTAGAGCCAGATACATACCCAGACAGACATACAGACATACAGACAGACATACAGATGGTTAGGCGTCATCGGCAGTCTGTGCCATGACAGCCATTGTTAGAAGCCATTTTCACATACCTATGTGTATGCTTTTGAAAGATGTTTGTTTGTTTGTGTGTGTGTGTGTGTGTGTGTGTGTGCGTGCGTGTGTGTGTGTGTGTGTGTGTGTGCATACGTGTGCATGCGTCCGTGTGTGTGCACATTTGGGTGTCTGTATGTAAGCGTGCATATCAAGATATCCAGTCGTAAAAAAATACAGTAAAACTACAAACTATGAGTCCAGGCAGCACAGTCCTCCTACCTTGGGCAAGACTTGACCGGACACGGAACGAGATGAACCAGAACTGGACAGACGAAGAGAAACACATGCACGCATACATACACATGCACGCACACACGTGCACACACAACATTGGACCATTGGACGCCCATCGCCGGAGGCGATGATAGCGATGCTACAGCAGAAGCCATAGCAACTTGTGCTGGGATTGCACCATTCAACAGCTTGCAAGGCTGAAGAATTGGCCACCACTATTCAGCCTGGTCTACACCACACAGCTATGAAGTGGCTTTTTCTGGCCAGTGAATCCCTACTTTTTCGTCTTTTTTATCACACACACGCACGCACGCATACACACACACAGAAATCCACAGGAAAAAGGGATCGTGAAAGCTGCTCAAGACTTTAACCCTTTGTGTACCAGCCCCATCTCGAACCGTAACGTACGTTACGGTTCGACGCACCGCACTGCGCCGCGCCGTTCGGCGGCGTCCTTGCTCCGATCGACTCGCGGTTTTTTGCGCTGGGCAGCTGAGATCCCACTGCAAATTTTGATGTATGATGTGGGTAGGTTGCCATTTGAAAGTATGGAGAACGATCGCGGCGAAAAGTGCGCTTTGCAATTTCAGCGCTCTGCGATATATTTTAGCAATTTCGATCGTGTTTTCGTTCGGTTACGTTGCTTGTATCTGGAATATAGCTTGCTCTAGCTGTTGTCGATGTCTACTAGTGATGGTGAACGCCAGGAGAGAGTTGTAGTAGCGATATAATCTCAGGATCTGAATCGAAAATGAGAATTTCCATCGCTGAAGCCATTGCAGTATTCGCTCTCCAAGCAGCAGCGAGAGGGAGCGCAGCGATGGCCTGAAATAATCAAGGCAGGTGAATTTCCTCACCCATCGACTATTTCTGGTCTTCTCAATCGCCAATACCCCCGCTGGACGCAAGTAGATAAGTGAAAAGTACATATTCAAATCTGACACAATTTCAATAATTTGAAATTTTGATGCAATTGTTTGGCATCTGGTATTCACGCAATATGGCTCTTTCCGTCCATTTCGCTATTGTTGAAGCATGCAACTGGCGGCTATACACTAGTGCAGTGGTTTCCTGTTGCTCTGTGTGAAGAAGGGCAATGTCAGCAAGTTTATTCACGATTCCAAGTACACGGATCTAAATTGTCAGGAATATGGACAATTGACTCAGAAATAGGTATTCCAGGTATGGCCTGTATCTGTAGTTGTGTGCTCGGTCAAAATATTTTCTTACCTGGACACATTGATACCAACAGATTCAGAAAAACATAACTTGCACCTACAAAATGTGTCTTAGTTTTATGCTATAGGTCCATCATTACCGACGAGTACCCCGCGCATACATTAGATGCCTGGTACACAAAGGGTTAATGAATGGTTATACGCAGGGCAGATGTCTGTATTCCGTGACAAAACTCTGGGTGCGGCATACTGTGGAAAATACAGTAATTCCTTACTGAGCTATGGTATTGTTGTCCAAGTTGATGCACACACAGTCTTCAGGAGTGTCGTACAGGTCAAAGTAACGAGAGTCGATACCTGCACAACGCAACACAACACAACAGTACAGAACACACAAGAGCTGATATTAGAGGGTTGATTTAATATACAGTCAAACCTGTAACTAAGGACCACCCCTTGGGGCCAGAGAAGGCGGTCTTTAGCGGCAGGTGGTCTTTAGTTAGAGGTTTGCACCGCACAACCCTATGTGAATGTGAGACCGGCCGTGCCTGGCGAAGTGGTCTGCAGTAGCAGGCTGGACGCTAGTCACGGTGGTCTTTAGTTACAGGTTTTACTGTAGTAGCAGGCTGGACGCTAGTCACGGTGGTCTTTAGTTACAGGTCTTACTGTACAGTGCAGCTCAATGAAATCCAGTCGCGTCACTCGAGTACGCGCCGGGCGTTGCGCAGCCCTCGACCTGCGAACACTGCGCTGCGAAATGGTGCAAGGCGCAAGCTTGAGTGACGCGGCTGGGTTTCACTGGACAGCACTGCACAATACCAAACCTGACAGGAAGAGAGGCTAGCCAGCATGCCTGCATCCGGGATTGCGGACATGCATAGAATCAAAGTCGAAACTCCGTGTGCGTTCACAAGTTTGAAAATCGTGCTGTTTGGCATATAGATGTACTGGGAGTTTTCAGTTTGCATGCATACATACCTGAGATCCTGGTTGCAACAAAAGTCAAACATACGAACAAGCTCCACAAGCTTTCTTTATCCTTTTGGTTTGGTTTTTGAATGGTGCCCATATCATCAGTGAATCAATATAATTATAAAAAATTCAATCAGTGCTCTGCGTGTGCTTTTAACCGTCCGACATCACAACGTCATCCTGCGTTTGCATGGCAGGGCCCCCGGCCCCATAAGCGTTCTCCCCGGCAGCACAAAAGCACCCTTGACTATGCCCCGTCACTGTGCATCTACTAACGTGCAGTGACAGGGTGTGACAGGGTGTGACTTGCTTTCCCTATTTTCCGGAGTATACCGTATTTCCCCGATTGTAAGTCGCACCTTTTTACACTAAACTTCAGGGTAGGGGGTGCGACTTACAATCGAGTGTGACTTGCTACTGAAGTGAATATATTGCAACAATATTGCTCAAACCTGAAAATGGGGGGGTGACTTATAATCGAGTGCGACTTAGAGTCGGGGAAATACGGTAAGCCGCATTTTGAACACTCAAAATTCACCCAGCAAAAGGGGGGGGGGGGGCACGCCTTATAGTCTGATGATCAAATTAACGGTGATAAACAGGACTGATGTCTGAATTTCGTGGCCAAAAGTGGGGGGGGGGGGGGGGGCTTATTCCCGAAAATAGGGTACTAGCATATTGGTTACTCACCGACAAGGAAGGGCATTGGTGCGTGGATGAAACTGGCCAGTGCCAACGGGCACAGCGGTATGTACGGACACTGCCAACTGAACGGGAACAGGATCTACACACACGCACACACACAGCAAAGCAGAGCAAGATACAATTAGTAAGCGCTGGGACATGAGAGTCACATCATACTTTACACATAGTGCATGTACTCAATCAAGTGTCATAGTGTATGTATGTAACTGAGTGAGTACTCACATGTGGATACCGGATACTCGAGAAGAAAATTGCTAAGATTTTATTTTCGTCAATTTTAGTTCTCCATTAAAATGGCATCCCTGCTGAAAGCGAGAAACATGGCTGATTTCTCAGCATGACAAGACATGATTCCAAGCTAACTGTCAGATCGCTTACTAGCCACACATGCTTGCATTCATACAGACATACAGACATATAGACAGGCAGACAGACCCACTCCAACACATGCACACACACGCACACGCACACACACACACACACACACGTGCACACACAGAGCGAACCATGCCTTACCGAGCAGAGTGCCTCACCAAACGACGTGAGCAGCGACGGCCGTACTGAATGTAATATGATCTGGTACTCAAGTAAGACTAGTGCCAGCAATGTCATTAAGTTGTTGGCATCAAGACATCGTAACAGAATCGAATGGGTTGCACCACTGCGAACAAACACAACAAAACAAAAATAACACACAAAAGGACCTAAACGACACACTCAACAAGATTTTACCACAAAAAAATACACGCAGTGAACAGGATTCGAACCTGTGCGGGCAGAGCCCAATTGATTTCGAGTCAATCGCCTTAACCACTCGGCCACCACTGCCTGGCTGATACTTCCAGTTTTCAATGGACAGAATACCAATCATGTTCTGGCTGGTGAGATAAATTGGTTGAATTGCAAACTACGATGGCGGCCACGTGGCAGTAGGGAGGTTTAGTCCCAAGTAATCCGTGTGTACTTTACGTGTGTGTACCATGTGATACTAGGGAGGTTCTGCTCTACGTGTTGGGAACGCGACGCAAAGAATCACGCGAACTTTCTTCGCGTTCCCGTAACGTAAAGAAATGCTGTTCTGCTCTACGTTTCACCTAGAGAAGTCAAGTAGAATGTGTACTGGGAATTTCCCCTTCCATATTTGGCAATTTTCTGCATGCAGTTGATCGATACCCAGCAAATCCGTACGCATTTTCTCTGCGTGTGCCACAACGTAGAGAACCCCATCTCCGCGTAGAAATCTGGAGCCAAAACACGCGAAGCCGTAGACTCTAACCCAGACACCTGCTCTCTACGTGATTTCTCTACGTTTCACGTATAGCAGAACCTCTCTACTCAGTGACCCACGTACAGCCGTTTTCTGATTCACGATATACCATGAATGGAGGCTGACCCGTGTTCTGCCAAAACGCGAGTGAAAATCAGAATGGATCGCATTGTGCAAGCTGTGAGATTGCTCAGCTTAAGAAGTTTCGAAGCACGAAATACATGTACATGTATTCGATGAGTGTAACGGCCTTCGCTTCGAAGCTTCGTCTTCTCTCCCGCTCATTGGCGCATTAAAACTTGGTTTTTCGAAGTCTTTCTTGTCGTTCTTGATTCCGTGCCAGAGCTAACGGGGAAAGGGAAAAGTGGTGATACCGTAAAGTACCGTTGATCCGCCCCCTCTCTAATTCCCGCCCCCTGTCGATTTTCTCCTTGTGAAGCGACTTCGGCGTGTACAACGAAATACGATGTTGAACCGACGCATACACTGCTGTACACAATACTTGCCAATCCAGGATCAAAATGTGCACAATCCAGCACATTGAGACTGATCCTCTACGTTGTTGTACATCGTACTGCACTTGACAGCCTTGATCTAATTCCCGCCCCCTGCCGAAAACCCAGCTGGGAAGCGACATGGCGTGGGGGCGGATCAACGGTACTTTACGGTACTTGGATTCAGATGAAAAAGACGTGCTGAAAATCAGAAAAAGATGATGCCTGATTTGTTGGGAGCTTGGATACTACACGGGATACACGCCTGATGGAGCGGATACTCAAGACAGGGTTTGATGTTTTGAGCTAAAGAAGTTGGAAACCATAGACAATATTCTTACCTCAGGGGCAGTGCTGTCTTGACTGGCTGAGATAAAAGTACTGACTCAGGGCCAAGCTGACAACAACAACAACAACAACAACAACAACAACAACAACAACAACAACAACAACAACAACAACAACAACAACCACAACCACAACCACAACCACAACAACAACAACAACAACAACAACAACAACAACAACAACAACAACAACAACAACAACAACAACAACAACAACAACAGCAGCAGCAACAGCAGCAAAAACTCATTAGTGTCCCTTCAATTCAGTGTTAGGAGCTGGTCAGACTGCAGGCAATTCTCCGTGCCTGACGCAAAAAGAAAATCGTTCAGGATTACAATTGCAATCACAGTACAAATGATCGGTGGACCGACCTCGCTTGCATGTGTGTACAAGAGTATAGTCATAGTGAGTGAGCCTTTGATACGGTTCATCGATTTACACTACAAATGGGGGAGAATCAAATTCAAAATTCAATTTGAGTTCTAACAAACCTGTATCAGTACTCTGGGTCGGGATGACGATGGAAACGGAACGTCAATCATGAAATTAGAGATGTATCTGTACAATATAAAGACAGTCCAACAAGACAAACGCATGTGGGCATGCGGGCATACAGACAAACATGTGTGCGAGCATGTGCACACTTGCACACACACACAAAACACACACACACACACAAACACACACAAAACACACACACACACACACACACACACAAACACACACACACACATTTCAGTTTGATACCTGGATAGTGGTTACAGTGCAGTGAAGAGCATTCCCTAGCAATGACTGGACAAGAGGACAGTCACAGTAGGATGTGTAGCAAGAAGGAGCCACGGGTGTGCGAGATCCCTGTTAGCCTAATCGGTAGGGCACTGCCCCGGAGAGACAGGGGGCTGGGTTCGAATCCCGCTTGTGGATCCTTCTTTTGCAACACATGCACACAACGTTGCCTGGACATACTGCAAGCGGTATGCTGAAACCATCACACTACATTTATTATATCCGTGTGTTTCAGTGCACCCAGACGGTAGCTGCTTGCTACCGTTGGCCAGTGTTGTGATTTCGTATGTGTGGCAGGGTGTCCACACCCGTGTTTTATGTGTGTGTGTGTGTGTGTGCGCGCGCGTGTGTTTGTGTGTGTGTGTGTGCGCGCGCGTGTTTGTGTGTGTGTGTGTGTGAGCGCATGTGTCTACGAATCGTACATGTGTGTGGTGCAAGTATTCACACAAACAGGTAACATAGGGAATGCACACAGTATTTCCCCGATTGTAAGTCCAAGCACCTTTTGTATATGTAACCCATAACCATTCTGGTCGTCGGGGCGTCATGTGTGTCATAAGGCAGCAGCATAAACAAATTAATATAAATAAAAAAACCTAACTACAACCTAACTACGTCGCACCTTTTACTTTCCATTAAACGTCAAGGATATAAAAAGAAGGGGATGCGACTTACATTTGAGTGCGACACTCTACTGATGTGAAGGTATTGAAATAATTTGGCTCAGACCTGAAATGGGTTGTGACTTATAGTCAAGTGTGACTTGTAATCAGGCAAAATATGGTAGGTTACGACTTACCTCTCCAGTGGAATGGGCGATGGTCCGGATATGGAGATACGGTACAGAGAGGAGAGGTAGGTTTTGAACGCTTGGAAGAACGGCCAGCGAGACAGGATGCATATAGCCTTGTTACAGAACAACCGCTGGGTCTGAACAAGCACAGGTTAACAACAACAACAGCAGCAGAAGTAGAATAGTATCAGACACTTCAAAACTATGACTACACGCAGACATAGACAAACACCGATCCAAACATCCAGGTACGGGCGAGCATGTGCCCATACAGAGACACATCATCACCAGAGATAGAATAAACAAATAAGTTACTAACATAACATGGCAATCAAGTGAAACCCCTCAGAATACCAATCAAGCAGAACAATTGCCAAAATTAAGATTAAAAGCAGATTTCTACGGCATGACTCGTTCTTCGCCCACACACCATTACAAGTGAAGACTCACAGATGTTTCGGCTTCCGTTCCGAATAGCACCCGTCGCATGGCCAATGTTTGTTTGGACAGGGGCAACTCATCGTAGAACACAACGGCCGCGCCGTATACCTTCTCACCAATAGCACCAGTGAGCACAAACGAGGAGAAGGTCGGTAGCGGATGTGCCACGGAGTCACTCCAGCTCTCCACACTGGCACCGAGTGGGAGACAAAACAGAGGCACAGACTCGGGCAGAGGAAAGTCCTCGGAGTCGACCAGCGGAAACCGATGCAGAATAGCTGTATGTAGAAACAGGAGAGAGAGAGAGAGAGAGAGAGAGAGAGAGAGAGAGAGAGAGAGAGAGAGAGAGAGAGAGAGAGTGAGAGAGAGTGAGAGAGTGAGAGAGAGAGAGAGAGAGAGAGAGAGAGAGAGAGAGAGAGAGAGAGAGAGAGAGAGAGAGAGAGAGAGAGAGAGAGAGAGAGAGAGAGAGAGAGAGAGAGAGAGAGAGAGACACACACACACACACATGCACACTTTTTTTAGAACATCACAAACAACTCAATACCTAGTCTAATAAGAACTTCTGCACTGGATAGTCAGATTGGGAACAAGATGATGTCTTTGATACAGAAAAAACTGATACTTCCACAATCCTGGCGTTCTTCAGACTGACACGAACATGGCACTGACAGCACACCCATCATGAATGTTGACCAGCGCGGGCAACACATTTGAGAGCGAGAATATCACATGAGGTGACAAACCGCACGACAGGCTAAGGTGAGGTGTTTAGAGGCACACCAATACTGATATCAACAAGAAGCCAACTCATCGCTGTGTCATTGCCTACGCGCCAGGCGTGAACTGATGATACTGAGACAGAGCAAGCGTTGCCCGCGCAGCTAAACTTTGCAGCGTAGAGAGCGTTGCGTGGGCAAGCGTATATTTACCGCCATTTCACAAGATGTGTCTTACAACCATTTCTCTACTAACGTTAGTACAATAAGAAGCCAGGGCAATATCCGTAAGGTGAGAAACAGAGCTGGCCACACTGAGGTGGCAAGTATCAGCAGCAGTGAATATGAAGGGCTCCAATTCAAAACGCGATAAAGACCCCAACTGGAGCTTTTGCGTTTTTTCGTCGCGAAAGAATTCGTGTTCTCCCCAGGGACGTCTGTGTGTCGGTTTTACGGGTCAAAACGCGATACATCCCAGTCAAAATGATGCCTGAAATTTGTGTTCTGCAAAACACGATAAAAGTCATTGATGCTGCAGTGCAGACCGAAAAGAAAAAAAACTAATGAAAAAATGCACCTCCTGAAATTTCCACAAAATGGATTTATCTCGTTTTGAATCGAATCGAAGCCTTCCATATGCACATGATAGCTAACGCTATCATCAGCGTTACAGATACATACGCTGGACTCAGCTCCAGTCATAGTCTACTTTACAAGCAGGGAACACTACAGTCACTAGCACATCTACAACGAGAGTAGCAGGGCTACGGAATTTATACGCACATGCGCACACACACACACATACACACACACACACACACACACACACACACATGCACGCACGCGCGCGCGCACACACACACACACACATGCACACATGCACGCGTGCGCACACACACACACTGCAGCAGCTTGCAGGACTTACTCGCCCGATAAGACACAGCATGTGGCTTGATGAGTGACTTCTTGTAGCATAAGTAAAAAGTCGGACCAGTCTACAGAAATACAGATATACACCATATATCGTACACATACGCACGCAGACGCATCAGCACATGCACATACAGACCCTAAGAAGCGGATCAACACCAGCATCACCAAGACACCTAACAGGAGATGTACAGAATCGTCAATATACGCACGGGAAAACGGGCGCACAACCCCCACCCCCAACTAACACACACATACACACGCAAATCCACGCAGCAGCCGCAGAACCAGTAGTGGCAGTACCCACTACATGGCGCATACACAACCTACTCACCAAGCCACCATGGATGGCTTTGTTGATCATTGTGAAACCTCGTGGCACCGGCTCATTCTGCACAACGACATTACACAAGAAGAGCAGGCAAGATAGCATGATATAGCTTTCTCCGGGCATGGGTATGCCGACATCACAGCAACATCTCTCTATCTATCTGTCTGTCTCTGCCTCCCTCGCACACACACGCGCGCACACACACACACACACACACACACACACACACACACACACGTGAGCTGGTGACAACAGCAATGAAAACTGATATTTGATCCAGTCAAAAATCAATATTCAAAAGAAGAGTGAAGAGTGCTTGGACCATTTTTATAGAGAGGTAGACCTCAACACAAACTGGTCATGCCTTCTTTCAGAAGACAAGTATGGTGGATTTATTCTGCCTCGATGTGGGCCCGTCTAGTTTCCTCTTGTGGAACGACAGTCAGACAGACAGACAGACAGACAGACAGACAGACAGGCAGACAGACTAGAGTCCAGTCTTGCTCCTGTTGTGTGGTTCGGCCATATCTACATTAGACACCCTTAGCAAAAAACGTTATGTTGTAACGGTATTATCGTAAGGGGGAAAATACCGTGATTTGGGTTCGACCTTTAGCAAGATGCACGCTATTTTTAGTATGCTATTGCCACGAGATTAGCTTTGATTTCGCGCGGTACAACCATTTGTTTCACCATATACGCAATACAAGGTGAAATGCGTACAGACTATGCAATATTTGGCCAAAACACGTACCGTTGGTCACAACGATAAATCAGCCCCCATAACGTTTATACGCTGCAGCTTCAACGCTATTTGGGTGATCAAGGTACGAGTACCGTAAAAATAGCGTTACCGTTGTTTGCTAAGGGCGTCTATTGTAGAGTAAAAGCTGTCAAGGCGACCCGTGACTCGGATAAGGCGATCACCTGTCCTAGAAGACCACTGAACTCAGGACCAAGGGATGCTATTTCCAGTCAAATGACCCTGGATAAGGAGACCACCTGGTAACAGAGACCAAGTTTTGAAGTTCCCTTGAGTGATCGTCTTAGACAGGTTCCACTGTACTTGTAGTTGTGTCGTCTAATGAATGTTCTAGCTGGACCTTTGCTGGCAAGTCATCGTGTAGACAATCAAACTTTCGCTGAGATGGACAGACAGACAGACATACGGACAGACAGACAGACATACACACACACACGACGACGGACAAACAGACACACACACACACACGCGCGCACATACCTTACTGCCGTTGATCAGGCAGAGATCGGTCAGAGCCATGCCGTAGAAATGATAACCACTGCCTACACCGGTGAGCGGCGCACGCCGATATGCCATGTACGTGGCAGCTGAGGCCGGTGAGTGATTGATGTCCGCTGATTTATGTGACATCACACTTGATGTGATCACTTGATAGTCCACAAGCTGGGGTGAGCGATACGCGATGCTGTAGACGGTAGCAAAACAAAACAGACACTCATACGCATACTCCTGCCCATCGCCGAAGCGATGAATGTCAGACATAGCAACTTGAGCTGGGATTACATCATTCAACAGCTTGGAAGGCTGATAAACTGACCGCCACTAATTTTAGCCTGGTTGATGTGGCTTTTTCTGGCCAATGAATCCCTATTTTTCATTCTACCCCCCCCCCCCCCCCCCCCCACACACACACACACACAGACACTGCACTTGCTCATGACCATCAAATGACCACTGGAGTATCCCCCCCCCCCCCCGTCCAGGGAAGCGGAGAGGGCTTCAAAACATTTTCAAATCTTGGAAAGAGGATTCAACTGGCTCTTCAACACATGCACAGGCACCCGTTGGTCCTTCACCCCCACACCCACGCGTTTACCACGCAAATAACCCGAAACGATGTGCTTTTCGACCCATGTGGTTCGGTCACTCTGCATACCGGTGCTGTAATTTCACAAATTTTCGGTGTACAGTTGAACATCGATTATCCGCACATCGACTATCCGACCATTCGATTATCCGTAACAGTTTTTTTGGGCGCACGTGCCGTAGAGTACGCACTGTGCATGTAGTGAGCCATTCAAAAAATACGAAAATTTTGAAAAGTAGCACTCTATTCTATTTACGATGTACATGTACATGTATTTACAGTGTGTTTTCTTATCCGGAACATTTGCCTTATCTGAACACCGCCTGACAGTTGTCTGCCCAGAGGTGGTCGGATAATCGATGTTCAACTGTACTTAAATTTTCGGTAACTTTCGGTGCGTCTGTTTCATACCTAACATTTCAATACACCGAACAAACACTATCAGTCTAATCCAATAGGGAACTGCTTCTCCGTACCTAAAATTTCTGTTCACCTAACCTGGCCTTTTGCCCTCATACTGAAAATATTGAGCACGGAAAATTTCTGAAATTAGAGTAACCCGTGGCCTACGCGACATCCAACTGGACCCCAATCGCAGACATGACCTCATGACTGACCCCAATCGCGGACATGACATGACTGACCCCAGACGCTGTGCAAACCAGCGGTACGATTTGCAAGCGTGCATAAATCGGCATTGCTCCAATGGCGACTGGAACGGGTAGGCCTGGAGCGAAGCTCACACCGTTTCATGTTCAACTCTTATGTGTCATGTGACTAAATGCTCTGGTGATCACATTCTTCATCTCAACACTATAGTCCATTTCAAAACTATAGACGCGCAGTGTTTTTGAATTATTTCAAATTTGGCTGGAACTTTTTGAGAATAGTTTTCGGAATATTGCTCAGGATCGCTCCACAATTACTCTCATTATAGTTTCTAAAGGATTGGATAACAGACGACCAATTTGGAAAAATTTATGCACAAAGTGATCACAGATTTTATGTGGTATAGATGCTGGCATAACGGTTTTTGCCTAGGTACGCGTCTATAGTTTTGAAATGGACTGTAGGGGTGCGTTCTTATATTCTCTAGCTTCTAGGAGAAGAAGAAAAGAGAAGTCGAAGAAACTGGGATTATTCAAGAACGGGCCTCAAAGAATTCGGAGATACTTTGCACATGTCAAGCAAAAATGAAGCGCCAAAGGGGCCGCGCCATCTTGAGTGATGAATGTAGTATGCACTGTGCGTATGCGAAAAGGGAAATGCGTACACTCATGATCAACACGTGGCTTTTAGTCGTAGTTAGCATGCGCTGATCCCAAACCGTGGGAATCCCCAAGTTTCAACCACCTTTGAAGTTTGGAGAGCTTGGAGAGCTTTGGAGAGCCTCCTAAAAGTCGGAGAGGATATAAGAACAGCTCACGAACTTTTCGGAGAGTCTCCAACTTTTCCGAGAGGATTTAAGAACGCACCCCAGGGTTTGAAGAGCTACCGTGCTTTTTGTTTGTTTGCGTTTTCAGTGCTTTGTGAATTAGGGAATTTGGTCGGGAACAGTGTACCGACTGTACATGTATTCTGCATCAGCCTACATGTAGTTGGGGCAGCCACATCATAGTTAGCATCTGATGTCCTGCATAATTCAGGGAAAAGGGGTTATTGCTGCAGAGTTACAGCAATAAATCAAGGTGAATTCGGTACCATGCATGCATGCATTTCATTAGGTGTGGCATAATTCCTAAAATATTTATAATAATAATAATAATTATTGTTTGATTAGAGGCACGGTGTAGGTATATCAACAGTGCACGATATCTTGCACATGTGTTCAATTTCACTGACAAGCAAATTCGACTGCAAATGTCTACTCACTCGATATCCGTGAGTGGAGCATTGTCACGACCTCGCTTGTAGCAGATATACACTGCTTTGGAGGCGTTCGACGACCCATGGTTCAGACAGGCCGAGTGTTTCCCAGGTGTCTGGGTTATACACTGATAGTCAGATGGCAGTCGCTCGCCGCTGCCAGCAAATACTACTGAAATGTCCGTGATAGGCTCGGCCAGTACTGGCAAATCCATCTGCTCCGGACCATCGCCCACTGACTCCTGAATTTCGCCATTGGCATCGCATCGTTGAGAGGACTCGTTCAGTCCAACCACGACAAAATACTCTGCAACATTTCGTCGGCAATGGGCCATATCATACGCCAATGCAAGGCTGGGAGAAATAAAAATTGGCAAAGCCTGAACACGTTCTTTTGTTTAGATTTGAATTCAAAATACACTGAGCATGGGTTCGTCTCAGGACCAAGGCCTGTCGCCTCTTTTATGGCCTTTTCCAAAAGCAAAACTACAAAGCCAAAAGGCTGGAAAGTCAATTTGACAAAACAAACAAACAAACATAAAATCCTTTGACCAGATGACGCTGTTCATCTCATCTTTCACTCAAAGCGACACCTGGACACGTCCAGGAGAAGAGACTATGCGTATACTGCAATACGCTATGCGTAGATCGTAGCCTGACTGAAGTGCCCCAATTATTTTTTGGAGTTCCCACAGCAGGTGTGTACAAGCTCAGATGATCAGCACAGGACTTCTACCTATAACTAGTATAAGTAGTAAAATGCGGACACACTGTACGTTTTACTACTCCCACACACACAGTGGCCACTGTGCCAGTGGTTTGGCGCTGATCTGCATGATCTGAGAGTCCACGCGTGCACGAGCGGCTAGGGCCGGGGGTCAACGACATGTCGACAGGTTTTTTTGGTTGATCGGCGGCGGCGTTGGTAGGGTGTAGAACTCTGTACTGACAGTCTGTCTGTCTGTAGATACCTGTACGCAATAATTATTTTTTGTTGTTGACTGACGTGACGTAGATCTACATTTTTGTGTCTTGTACCGGGTTGTACTGTCTTTGTGTCGTCTGTTGCAAAAGTAACAGTTTGTAGCTTACTTGTCTTTGTAGATGAAGGAAGAATTTTGAAAAACTATTATTACCTTGGTTCGCTTGGACTGCAGGGACAGGCGATACGGGAGTTCTTCGCTCACACCGAAGCCAAACGCTAGCTCACACTATCTGCAGAGGCTTTAGCTAACAAGGCCTACGAGGCTAAGATGTTGGGCTGTGCTTTGAGAAGAAGTGGCTCGCTGAGGTAGGTTCGATTTGTATCCACAATAAAATAAATATTCCCATCCGCCGTTGTCGTCGTCATTCTTGGATCGACTTGCGGGCTGGACGATCTATTGGCTACTACTGTTCATGTTTCCCCATTTCAGGCTGCCAGCTGCTTCACTAGCAGCTAGGCCGTCCCTGGGCCTCCATACGCTTGCTACGACAGAAACACCGCCACCTCCCGCTTGCCGAAGGTATTTGACAAAAACTTGAAAAAGCATAATTTGTTTTTCAGCCTGGCGTGACAAACTGCAGCAAAAGCTGGAGAAGAGTCTGTGGTAGGGAGAACGACGCACACACTCAGAAAGAGAGACAGAGATAGGAGAAGAGAGAGCGGAGTGTGGAGAATTCATGCATGTAAATACTGAAATTAATAGTGCCAAATACAAAGTGCAGAGCAGTTTGTGGCAGGTACTACACATGTCCATTTACATTGTTATGTAATGCCCCCCCCCCCCCCCCCCACACACACACACATACACACACGCACACACACATACACACACACACACACACACACACACACACACACACACACACACACACACACACACACACACACCCTTCACTATCATATTATTGGGCAACGATCCCGTTTGACTTTGCGAAGTAAAATCAAGACTGATACATAGATACATGTAGCAGTGTAAGTGTTAACCTTAGTAACCTTAGTAACCTTAGTGGGTATACAAGTAGAGAAGAACAGACAGAGACGGAGTTTCACTAATGGAGAAGGTTGATGCAGTATGACGCCGCGTTGTGTGCACGTGCCAGTGTTAGTGCACACTCGTAGTAGTGTGTGTGTTATTATTATTATTATTTATTCTTCTTTTACTAGGGAATTCCCAACAGGCGTCAGCGCCTTTTTACAGGGAACCCTAGGTATAATTTGATGGATGAGCGAAATTCAGCTGGTGAACTAGACATGCGGCAAGCCGGTGGAAGTGTATTCCACCTGGCAGCGCCCAAATAAGAAATTGCACTAAAGCCATATCGGGTGTTAGCGGGGGGCAGAACAAGAGCAGCAGAGACTTGGCCCACGGGTGGTGGCTGCAGTGCGAGCACCATGGGCGCGCAAGGTAAAGCGGTCTCGCAGAAGAGGACTAGCAAGTCCATTCAGGCAGCGGTAAACAAATACATAGGTTTTGAAGTTGAGGCGTTTACAAGTTAGTATGACTGTATGTGTGCGCGCGCTTGTGTGTGTGTGTGTGTACACGCATGCGTGTCACTGTGTGTATGTGTGTGTGTGTGTGTGTGTGTGTGTGTGTGTGTGTGTGTGTGTGTTCATGTTTTTGTGTACATGTACATGCACGCGCTCATGTGTGTGTATATCCTTACGTGTGTTCTTGCATATGTGTGCCCGCATTCATTCTTGTCCCATTTATTACACACACGCTCTCAACACACACACACACACACACACACACACACACACACACACACACGCACACACACACATACACACACACACACACCACTTGTTTGCCCGTGCACAGCCTGTTGACAATACGCGAGAAGAGTGACTTCCCACGTGATAACGTCGATGCTCCGGTGTCGACCAAGTACAGCCTTGGACCACAGCGTGAGGGCATGGTGGGCGATCCGCGCCGCACTGCACTACAGGGACATCCCAAACTGGGCAAGAACGCCACACTGGACAGGAGTGCAGGTAGGATTGATTCTCCAGGGGCGGATCCAGGAGGGGTTCCAGGGGTTCCGTGGAACCCCCTAAATTTCGTAAATGTACTACTGGCAACCAGATGCGTGTCTGTGTACAAGACTGTATCAGCCATTCAGTTTTGACTATACTGGACCCCCCCCCTATAGAGATCGCTGGATCCACCGCTGTTCTCCTGTTACTTGAGAACGGCTTTATTCACACAACACCAATAGCGTGAACACCATGCCGCGTAAGTAGTAGCATGACAAGTTGTCCAGATTACATACTGGTGGATTGTGATAAACCTGTGATGTCACTATCTGATTGTACTTTACTCTACTGTGCGTACTACCGTAAAACCTTCCCTAACCGGACGCCATGGGTGCAGCTAGAACTGCCCCGGCATGACAGGACCCAGCATGATCCAGGGATGCACAGTCGATTCACAGCACTTTCGTACATGAAAAATGACCCATTGCCGGTCGATACAGGACCCCGCTTGATCCAGGGATGCACAATCGATCCACAGAACTTTCGTGCATGGAAAAATGGGCCGGTCGATACAGGACCCCGCTTGATCCAGGGATGCACAATCGATCCACAGCACTTTCGTGCATGAAAAATGGGCCGGTCGATACAGGACCCCGCTTGATCCAGGGATGCACAATCGATCCACAGCACTTTCGTGCATGAAAAATGGGCCTGTCGATACAGGACCCCGCTTGATCCAGGGATGCACAATCGATCCACAGCACTTTCGTGCATGAAAAATGGGCCGGTCGATACAGCCTTACAGGACCCCGCTTGATCCAGGGATGCACAATCGATCCACAGCACTTTCGTGCATGAAAAATGGGCCGGCCCGTACATGATCCCGCTTGGTACAGGGTCCGGCAAACACATGTCTTACTGTGCCTGTTGATATTGTCTCGATCACATGCTGATGGATTCACGGTGATGAACCTGTGATGTTATCCCCTGATCACACTCTACTCCACTTTCCATACTACCTGTTGATGTGTAGATTACGTGATTACGAAAGCTGACCAGCTCATCGATTACGTGCGTGAAGCGTCACTGTGGCCTATGCTGTTCGGCCTGGCGTGCTGTGCTGTGGAAATGATGCACATCGCTGCACCACGGTAAGTCAGAGAGATCACTCAACACTGCTTGTCGCCACTGCTGATGCTGTTGATACTTGTAGTGCTGCACAGGGGCGGATCCAGGAGGGGTTCTGTGGAACCCCATAAATTTCCTAAACGGACTACTGGCAACCATATGCATGTCCATGTACATGTATCAGCTATTCAGTTTCTTATTCAGTTTTGACTACTGGAACCCCCCTGTAGAGATCGCTGGATCCACCGCCGCTGGTGGATATACCCCCCCCCCCCCCCCCCCCCCCCCACACACACACAGCTCTAACTTCTGCTGCTGTTGTGACTGGTAGTGCTACTGCTCATGCTGGTACTGTTGATGCGGTGCTGCAGATGCTGCCTGCACTACTACTGCTCCACATTGCTGCTGCTGTAGCTGCTGATAGTGCTGATCAAGATGAGTGATGATACTGTACCCCTGCTGTGATTCCTGTTGCTGTTGCTTTGTTGCTGATTATGGAAGGAAACAAGTGGAAGTTAAGGCAAAAATTAAAATTTCACCAGTTGTAGTCTTCGGGGTGCTGAGTCGAATGGTCGTGGTCCCAGGAAGCTGAGACGCTCCCTTCCTACTTGAATCCCAATCGAACTCGCGCACTTCCACCGAAACTGGGTGACTGCGCCCTACCAGATGGGGATTTGTATGCAAAATGTCACTAAAAGCGCCATTTCGTTCTTATAAAAGCACGGATGACCGCGATTGGCCCATATGTTGTAGTCTTTTGGACGCTGAGTCGACTGATTTTGGTCCGAAAAGGCTGCGATGCAGCGTTCCTCCTTTATTCCCAATCGAACATGGTTGAACAAGCGGTCACGTGCTCCTGCGTACGCCAGTCACCTGGTCACCGTGCCTGCAGGGTACAACTTACTAGCCTGTTTGACCTTTTTTGGGTGCAGTCCTGTCACTCGAGTTGAACCTTGGTGTGAAAGTTGTCGCCTGCTGGCGTGGTGACCAGGTGATTAGGGCACCCAGGAGCACGTGACCGCTTGTTCAACCATGTTCGATTGGGAATAAAGGAGGAACGCTGCATCGCAGTCTTTTCGGACCAAAATCAGTCGACTCAGCGTCCAAAAGACTACAACATATGGGCCAATCGCGGTCATCCGTGCTTTTATAAGAACGAAATGGCGCTTTTAGTGACATTTTGCATACAAATCCCCATCTAGTAGGGCGCAGTCACCCAGTTTCGGTGGAAGTGCGCGAGTTCGATTGGGATTCAAGTAGGAAGGGAGCGTCTCAGCTTCCTGGGACCACGGCTATTCGACTCAGCACCCCGAAGACTACAACTGGTGAAATTTTAATTTTTGCCTTAACTTCCCCTTTAACTGTGAGACTGTTTGTTGTTGGATTACGGGGGGGGGGGGGGGGGGGGGGGGGGGTTATTCGCCTCTGATCTAGGTACGTTTGTTTGTCTATGCATTTCCCGGCAGCTATGCCTAGTTGTATCACGTGATCGGCATGTATAAAAAAGACTAAATGTGTGTTTGTGCGCGCGTGCGTGTTTGTGTGTGTGTGTGTGTGTGCACGTGTGTGTGTGTGTGCACGTGTGTGTATGTGTGTGTGTACGTGTGTGCACGTGTGTTGGTGGGTGTCTCTCTTTCTCTCATCCGTTTTACTTGTTCTACTTGGACTATGACTGTCAACCCATCCTACTCCCATCCTACTCCCATCCTGATCCCATCCTACTCCCATCCTACTCCCATCCTACTCCCATCCTACTCCCATCCTACTCCCATCCTACTACCATCCTACTCCCATCCTACTCCCATCCTACTCCCATCCTACTCCCATCCTACTCCCATCCTACTCCCATCCTTCTCCCATCCTACTCCCATCCTACTCCCATCCTGATCCCGATTTTTTCTGTGCGTTTTCGGCGGATGTCTACACAACTCACCTACTCTGCAACCCGGCACGACCTTCATCTTTACCATCGATGGGCCACGAACCACCTTTGCTGCCGTGCTCCCATATGCTACCCGTATATTGATTGCGCATCGTCACCATGCTAATGCTGCTGCCTAACACAGCTACGACATGGACAAGTTTGGCGTGGTGTTTCGTGCCAGTCCGGTATGTCACACATGCTCTACGTGTTACTCTCTGTACTGTTTTGCCAACTTACAATCCAGTGTGATTACCTACTACTAAAGCTGAAACCTGAAAGTGGGAGTGCGACTTAGAATCGGGGAAATATGGTATCTCTTTGCCTACTCGGTACACAAATTCATAGTATTTATTCAGTGCTCTCTTTGCCTGTATTGCGGTGGTAATGCAGATGTACTCGTTCTATGTGGGTGGGATTCTCTGTGCATAGGTATATGACTGTCACCTTAGAGGCAGGCAGCGTCAGTCATAAGGAATGAAAGTCCACATTAGATTTGTGGATGGAGGCCATATGTCATGTGAGCTCCCATAGCTCAGTCGGTTAGAGCGTCGTGCTAATAACGCGAATGTCGCAGGTTCGAGCCCTGCTGGGAGCACGCTCTTTTTTGGGGGAATTTTTTGGCCAGGTTTCTTTTGAAGCATTCAGTGGTGGGTGGTGGGATTTTCGTGTGTTTGTTTTGGATTTAGCTACCTATGCTAAACCTGTGTGTGTGTGTCTCTCTCTCTCTGCTTGCGTCTGTGTGTTTTTGGGGGGATTTGTCCGTGTAGCGTCAATCGGATGTGATGATCGTTGCCGGTACATTGACAAACAAGATGGCGCCAGCACTGCGGAAGGTGTATGATCAGATGCCCGAACCGAAATACGTCATCTCCATGGGCAGGTATGAACAGTGTGTGTGTGTGCGTGCAGGACCGCCGGAAGCAGTTGTCCATTGATCCAGTCGTACCATAGTCTTTCAAGTTTGTGTAGAATATTGCGGGGACGTACATGTATGCCCTCCTCGGCAGTAGACATGCATTGGTAGACACAACGTTGGTCCGGTGTTAAATTCTTTTCTGTTTTTTTTGCATGGACTGGTGGTTTTGGATCAATACAAATTTATGGGGTTGTATGTGTCGTTTTTTGTATAAAAATGGTCAAAAATTGTGGATTCAGATTTTACGATCCACACCAATGAATGGGCTGGTGAGTTCAGATCAACCTCGAATAAGTGGCCTTTACAGCATTTTTACAATGTATGCAGCCCATGCAATTTAGATTGAGTTATTTTTGGCCCCTGCACCTTGTATAAGGCATGTTAAGGAAGAAAATATTTTGCGAAATTTGCGATTTTGTGTATGTCTGTGTTCCTGTGTGTGTGTGTGTGTGTGTGTGTGTGTGTGTGTGTGTGATGATAATTTTCAGTTTGTGTGTGTGTGTGTGTGTGTGTGTGTGTGTGTGCAACTGCAATCGTGGTGCGAGACCATCTGCTGCTGAGAGAGCAGCTCTGCCCCTCAGCTGCCCACGTTGTAAACGCAATTTCCGCCGGCAGCAGGATCTAGCCAGACATTCGCGGTCCTGCTTGTGATCCGTGTCCCGTTTTCTGGTCCCCTTTCCATAGGGGTGACACTTGCCCCTCTGGGCAGTCATGCTGCTAGTAGTAGTAGTAGTAGTGTGTGTGTAGTGTGTAGCAGGTTACACTTTCTGAGCTCCGTGTTCTTGGCTTTCTCCCAAGTTTTCTGCCTGCCCAGGGCGACTCTGGCGTAGCCAGAGTCGACCCTGGAGCACCCTCGCACACTGCCAAGGTAGTGCTGCATGATTGGAGCGCGGAATCGCGATGTAGCTTGCAGGACAATTTACTTTGATATTGTCACTGCTGCGTCGGCCGTGGTCCACCACTCGCAGTGGAGTAGCTGTCCCTCGAGTGCTGTGAAGAATCCAAGCTCGAAGAATGCAGTGGTGGGAATTGCGGATTGGCTAGTGGAGTGCTGGAACAACTCGTTGTTTTCAGTGGAGTGGACGAGCGAGTGCGGAGAGAAAGGTCCCAATGGCGGAATAGTGGGAATTGAAACTTCAATCTTTCGTCGTCATGAGTGCACTGGTCAAGCGTTGTGGAAGTCTGTCGGATTTGTGAGGCCTTGCCCTGCCGCTTACATCGTCAACGTGGAAGAACTGCTAGTGGAGTCCTGGTGGGATTTCGGATGCCCACACTCCTTTTGCTTGGTGGATTCTTTCGTGGACAGTGTTTTTTCGTGGCGTGAAATTTTGAATTTTTTTTCCTTCCTGTTCATTTTCAGTCGTTGTCACTGTAGCTGTCAGGTTGTTGTTACAGTACAGCAGTCGTCCGTTCTGCTCCATTGCTTCATCTGTTTTGCCAGTTCTGCTAGCTGATTCTATTTATTTATTTGCCACTGCCCCTCATAGTGCTCATGCTTGGGTGGAGGGCGGCGTGACCCGTTTAGGGTAGCTGTATCATAGTAGTAGTAGTAGTAGTGTGTGTGTGTGTGTGTATGCGTGCGTGTGTGTGTGTGTCTGTGCATGTGTGCTTCAACTGCTCTCGTCTGTAGCTGTGCCAATGGAGGTGGATACTACCACTATTCGTACGCAGTTGTCAGAGGCTGCGATCGCATTGTGCCCGTTGATGTCTACGTTCCAGGTAAGTGACTGCGAGGGTAGACTCCTCTCTCTCTCTCTCTCTCTCTCTCTCTCTCTCTCTCTCTCTCTCTCTCTCTCTCTCTCTCTCTCTCTCTCTCTCTCTCTCTATCTATCTATCTATCTCTCTTTCTCTCTTTCTCTCTCTCTCTCTCTCTCTCTCTCTCTCTCTCTCTCTCTCTCTCTCTCTCTCTCTCTCTCTCTCTCTCTCTCTCTCTCTCTCTCTTTCTCTCTCTATCTCTCTCCACCCTACAATGACTGACCCGCACATGTGTTCTGGCCTGTGTAGGATGTCCACCGACTGCCGAAGCCCTCCTGTATGGCATCCTGCAGCTGCAGCGTAAGATTCGTCGCGAGCGCCGCATGTCTCTTTGGTACAGGGATTAGCTCTCAATGCACATCAGCACATGTTCCCGATCATTCGCCAAGCAGTGTGTTCATGGCAGTGGTGTTGAAGCATCGTGTAGCTGCGCTGTAAGCTACATTGAGCGACTGCTGTGCTAACTACCAAGGCCGTGTGTTTAGGCTGTGCATTGTTGCTGATCAATGCATCCATGTTATTGGTTGTATGCAAGGGTGCATGTGTGTGTGTGTGGGTGCGTGAGTGTTTGTGGGTGGGTGTGTGCGTGCGTGCGTGTAAAACGAGTTGTTTGTATTTTATGTTGTATAGCTCTGTGGTCATGTGTAGTGCTCAGCCGTGCATTTTGTCATAGTCAATTTCACTGTTTTTGCTCAATCTACTAATAATTATTATCATTCACGAATCTCTACCGAATACGATTGACATTGCAAATCACCGTATAAAGACCATAGATTTGTGGGAAACACCCTAGTAAAATAAATAATAATAATAATAATGTGTGTTCGTGAGGGGGGGATCTAATGCATTGATCCCTATGATTTCCAATATAAATCGCTCTTTTTTTATAATAAACTTCAAGGGCAAAGAAGGGGATGTGACTTGCAATCGAGATTGACATCCTACTTATAGTCGTATGCATGTATTGAAACTATAATTATGGCTCAAACCTGAAAATGAGAGTGTGACTTATAACCGAGTGGGCCGCCTTATAATCTGGGATGGTAACTGTTGTGGCTTGCAATCAGCAACCACTGATATACAATCTGTATTGTTTTACGCACGCACCCTGTCAACCGTGTGCTTCCGATTGTATCGTGGTTTGTTAGCTAAGTGAACAATCTAGCGTACAATGAATCCCGTGCGATTTGAACTGCCCTGTACATAGTACGTGCATGTAGCTTGCTGTGATGTTCCGGAGTCTTCCGGGATTAATCGCCTCGTGTTCTTGTAAATAAACTACGGTCAGTTGCGATCTGAGTGATCTTTGGGAGTAGACTGTAGTTTTTAGGTGCGTTCTCCGAAGGCAACAGTAACCTGGACCAATGCACTATGTGCTTGTTCATGTCTTATCAGACTTCGTATAGTCAACTTTGCGTATAACCAAACTCGGCGCGGGGCATCAGAAAAGTGTCCTTATTCGCGAAGTGTCCTTATACCCAAAGGCATATTGTTGCTCAGACTAACCCTCCCCCTAGCTCTCCTCGACCACCCTGTCACCCCTGATACTCGCTTGACTCCTCTGTCAGATACTTCTTCTTTCGTAATTTTCTATTTCCTGTCTTCTCTTTTCTAAATGCGGCTTATCCATTCGCCTTAATATCATTGGGCCTAGTTCCCATTTATTGTGCGAATTAAAATAAACCAACCAACCAACCAAGGGCGCGTTTGGTTGGTACGAACTAGAACAGGATTCACCAGAACAGCGCGTTTGGTTGGGACTGCACCTGTTCTGGGTCGGCCAGAACATGTTCTGCTTGCTCCGGCCTCGAGGCCGGAGCAGACCGAGCAGTTTCACTTTTTCACAGTGAAACCTGGCGGGAACATCGATTTTGGTCCCAGATGATCACGTGCATACGCTTTTGGGTTGGTTTCGTCGTACCGTACAAAGTGACCATGGTGACCCATACACATTTTGAAGAATGCACCAAGTTTGGCACATTTTTCCACAAAAATGTGCTCTGTTTCTGGAGTACCGTTTGGTTGGCATGAGGCTGCTCCATGTGCACCAGCTGTTCGATCCTGTTCTAGATCGTACCAACCAAACGCACCCCAAGTCTCATTATAATTATGATTATCACTCTTCTTTATCGACCTCCTCTAATTCTCGTGATCCTTGACTGGTCCTATATTACCCATATCGCCGTAACATCGACCGCTTGTATCGACCGCTTGTATCGACCACTTAGGCAATAGTGAGGTTTTGCATTCCGAATTTCGGTACAGCGTTCTTCGGTCATTTGTCGAACATCAAAATGTCTGAAGGCCTCTAACCGCAAGGATGTGAAGGCAGCTGCCACGGAAGCCCTTCGCCAATTCACCGCCCGAGCCTCCTCTGCCCTCCAGCACTCCATCAACCTTGGCAGTGAGGCGGGTGCGTCCAGCTGGCTCACGTGTCGCCCCCTCAGTCGGCATGGGTTCAGCTTGTCAAAATGTGAATTTCGCGATGGTCTGGCATTGCGGTATGGCTGGCACCCTGCACGGCTCCCCTCTACTTGTGTCTGTGGTGCCACCTTCTCTGTTGAGCATGCTCTCTCTTGCCCCACTGGTGGTTTCCCGACGCTTCGCCACAATGAGGTACGGGACATCATCGCTGGCCAACTGAAGAAGGTGGCACACAGCGTAGAAGTAGAGCCTCATCTCCAACCCCTCACCGGCGAGCTTTTGCGCTACCGGACGGCGTCCACGGAGGATCAGGCCCGTCTGGATGTGGCGGCGAGTGGCGTGTGGGGAGGACGGTTTGAACGCGTTTATCTTGATATACAGGTGTTTAACCCTTTCGCTCCTTCAAACCGCTCCTCTTCTCTCGCTGCTCGCTACCAGAGCCATGAGCGAGAGAAGCGTCGCAGGTATATGGTCAGAGGGTGCAAGAAGTTGAGCGAGCCTCCTTCGTACCTGTCGTATTCTCAGCCACAGGTGGAGCCGGTCGAGCTGCTTCCGCTCTTCTTAAGCGAATTGCTGCTCTGTCTGCAGAGAAATCCGGAGAGCCATACGCAATGGTGATGGCGTTGCTGCGTTGTCGTCTTGGTTTTGGTCTCCTGCGTGCCAGTGTTGCCTGCCTTCGCGGTGCCCGGCGGATGCGCCGCGTCAATGATCAGTCTGCTGTCCTCGCAAACGCGGAGGCTGCATTGATTTAACTTTCTTTGCAACTCCTGCAGTCTAGGTACTGAGTATCATTGTTATCTTGTGTGTGTGTGTGTGTGTATGTGTGTATGCGTGAGTCAACAGCTTTGATAAAGTTATTGTGTTTACCCCTCTTGTTTTCTCATCATTGTGTTGCTTTTAAGACCTGGCTCCAAAACACTTTGCTAAGTATAACTGGTTTGTGTCCACCAGGTCAACACGTCATTCCTTCTCATTACCCCGTGCCAATACCTCCCTGTTTCTGAAATCTCCTATCTTCTCTGCGTACACTCTCTGGTCTTCCCTGCCAACTAGCCTTAAAGCATGCACAGACATTAAGGAGTTCAAGCTTCAGCTTCTTCGTCCTAAATAATCTCACCATTTTCGCCATGCTTCCCCTTGCAGTACTCTCTTTGTTTCTCTCCTTATTATTCAGTTCGCCGTGGTTGGCTACTACCCGACTTCTCATATATATTGGCAGTCTTCTGACGAGCCAGGAGATGTTGAATTAATAATAATAATAATAATAATAATAATAAGCTGTTGCAAAAATTTGCAACAAAGATTTGCAAAGAGGAAACTGTTTTGTCGAAACATAGATAGTCATGGGGCGAAGTAAAGTAAAGTAAAGTTTGCACGTCCGCATTACCACCGGCTATACAATTGCGTTGAGAAACACAACCAGCTTAGGAAGTTTCGCATGTGCCAGGCCACCACCATGCCTGTGATACCAGGGTGGCAGATGCAGCGCCTAACGGCGAGGGTGAGGTGGTAAGTCTCACAACCAATGCCCGACAAGGGGGCTAACCCTGAGAGGTTAGCTGCATCCATGTTACCCTCACTCCGAGTAGTGAGTACCCAGTTGACCGTGGGTGTTGGCGCAATTCACTGCATGTAAAGTGGTCGAAGTGAATATCGAAAAGCCGAAGAGACGTTTCTCGTTGTGCCTCAGACTCTGAAGATAGCGTCACTAGGCTTATTTATTTTTTTACGAGAAACTACGAACCTCGAGAACAGAATACTGCATGATAGAGGTGGTTGAAGACGCAACTGTAGTGGTGAAACTGGAGCATCTCCGCCGACCTGAGGTCTCAGCTTCAGCGACACTTCAGTGCACCAAAAGTGGGGAGGAGTAGGCACAGCGGGAGGGGAGGGGGGAGTACATTTGTGTAGAGGGTGGGAAATGGAAAGATGATACATGTGATAGAGTAAAAAAGGGGGGGAGCCAGGGTGCAAGCGGAGATGGTGTTCAGGGAGGGTTCAGAGGGCATCTGTGGCTGAGTGCCAGTCTCAACTGCGGAGAGACTTGTGGGTGCCTTCCTTGAATGCATGCATTCCATTCTGGGTGGGAAGGTTGCGCAGCAGGGCAGATGGGAGACGATTCCAGTCTTGGATCGTGGCATTGGAGAATGATCGGAGAGCACTATCACGGGCTCCGGCGGGTGGCTGAAGGAATCGACCAGGGTTGACGGTGATGCGAAATCGTCAAGACTTACCGGACTTTGTCGGCTCGAAGGCTAGTTGGGATACTGAAGTAGACGCCGATCCTTTGATAAATTTGGACGAGGCTGAAAGAGCAGCTACAAGCAGAAAGAGATGCATGTTGTTCCGATGAACTGCCTTTTGCGGAGTCCAGCTGAACTAGCTCGAAAAGAACTAGAATTACTCATGGATTCAGCACCAAGTCGTTATGAGCACTCTGCAGCAGCGCATGCAGTCTGAGTTTCCTGATGAAACAACACATGCAGTGACATGTGGACAGCTGTGCTCCCAAGACAGCAGTGACGGACTCAAGTGCTATCAACAAAGAAGAGCATTCTTGTCAATGTTTCCACCCATTAGTCTATGCAACACCACAAGGAGAAGAAAATATGAAAGTAAAGGAAGTAGAGCAGCAAAATAATCCGGCCACATTTTTTTCATACTTACCGCGAATGGAAGGGATCTCGATATGAGATCAGCCTAATATCTGCTGTTTCAGATGAAAGGATTGTTCACAGAACCAATGCAGTGACAGCGTGTCTGCAGACCAGTTGCCATGATAAACATCCCAATGATCCCTAACATAGTTTACACCTGTCACTCCCTGGATAATTTTGGGATAGTATTATGTTAAACACTATTCAGCCATAAGAAAACATGGGTGCAGTGAATGGGATTTTCGGTCTTTGACCACTTGCTGGTGAGCTGATCTAAGGTTACTCACCTCCCACCGCTTTAGCCTAGTTTAGGAGCTGCAGCTCTCAAGAACCTGGACACTTCAAAAGCAACTGGCCCTGACGGCATTCCGGCGCAAGTGCTCAGGAAGTCAGCGCAGTCACTCGCCAGCCCTCTGGCAAAGCTATTCACCCAGTGCTTCCGGGACGGGGTGCAACCTACATCCTGGAAGATCGCGAACGTTGTCCCTATTTTCAAGAAAGGCTCCAAGTCTACCCCGAAGAACTACCGTCCGATTTCCCTCCTCTCTATACTCTCTAAGGTGATGGAAGCCATCATCAATCGCAGCATCACTAACTTCCTGGAAAGCAATCAGGTCCTCTCCGGACGGCAATTCGGGTTCCGCCGCGGCCTGGGCACGACTGATCTTCTCCTCTCTCTTCAGCATGAGTGGAGTCGGACGTCCAATGCTGGGGGTGTGACCCG